GCAAAGCCTACTGGAGCCTCCACATATTTCTTTACGTGGACCATGAAAATGGGGACACTATTTGCCTTCCTTCAGTCTGCTGGGATCTCTCCTGTTATCCAAAATGTTTCAAAGATTATTAACAGTTGCTCTGAGATTATATCTGCAAGTTCCTTTAGTACTCTTGGATGCAGTCCATCTGGCCCTGGCGATCTGAATTTATTTAGAGTAGCTAGGTATAACTTTACTAGCTCTTTACTTATTCTGAGCTGTAGTCCTTTTAATGCATAATTTATTCTATTCTCATTAGATAGAGCACTGTTTTCTTTTTGGAGAAGATGGAAGCAAAGAAGATATTAAACAGTTTCTGTCCCCTGCTAGCATTTCAGTATCTTCTCTATGCAGAGGCCCTATATTTTCTTTGTTCTTCCTCTTGCTCCAAATATAGCCCCAATTCAAACCATTCTTTTTATTATTTTAACCTCTCTCATGTGCTTCAGCTCATACTGAGCTTTACCTTTGCTGACTTTCCTCCTACAAGTATTGCCTATTCATTTGAATTCTTTGGTAGTTTCCTCCTTCTTCCACTTCTTGTACATGGGTCTTTAAAATCTCAGCTTGTCTTCAAGTTTTTTGTACATCCACCTTGGTTTCTTTATACACTTCCCACTCCCCCCCCCCATTATAATTATTTGCTGTGTTCCATCGATATCTGCCTCTATAAAAGTTCAATACACCATGCACCTTACCTTTGAGCATTACTGACCATGAAATTTCACTCAATCTTTCCCTAAATGTATTGAAATCGCTTTCCTTGAACTCCAGAGTTTATGTCTGATGTTTGGCTTCCCTTTTCCTCTATTTAAAAAAATCCAAGAGAATATCCTATCCAAGGATCTCACTATGTCCATCTCATTGATTATTTCATCTTTTGATGAGTCCACTTTAAGAAATGTTTACCAACCCACTCTGAATCCAATGGACAATCCTATCATGTAGAACAGCATTTAACCAGTTTTTTTACCAAAATATCAAGAGATGCTTTGTCAAATGCTTTCTTGAAATCAAGATAAATCACACCCCCACCATTGCCAGAACTTAAGCTTTTTTGAAATCAAGATAAATTGCATCCACTGTAACCTTAGAACCCACAAATCTGGTGACCTTCGTTTATTTGTTTTTATTAAGTCAATTTTAATATAGATAAATAAAGATGCTTAAAAATTGATTGTTTTATAATAAGTTCCAAAGTCTTCCCTGTTATCAAAGTCAGATTGACTAGTCTGGGCTTGATACTACATCCCTCTTTGTACATTGATGCAATATTTACTGAGTAAGTGTGGTATAGTAGTTTGAGCATTGGACTATGACTCTGGAGACCAGGGTTCAAATCCCAGCATGTAAACCCACTGGGTGACCTTGAACAAGTCACACTCTCTCAGCCTCAGAGGATGGTGATGGCAAATCCCTCTGAAGAAACCTGCCAAGAAAACCCTGTGATAGGTCCCTCTTAGGGTCTCCATAAGTCAGAAATGACTTGAAGGCACACAAACAACAAACAATATTTGCCAGTACAATGGGGCCTTTGTATCCACTGGGGTTTGGTTCTACCCCCCCACCACCACATGGATACCAAAATCTATAGATGTTCAAGTCTCATTAAATACATTGGCATAGTAAAATGGTGTCCCTTATATATAATGGTAAAAGGTTTGCTTTTTAGAATTTATATTTTTTGGGAATTATTTTTCAAGTCTGGATAATTAAATCCATGGATAAAAAATCCATGAATCTGAGTGTAACTATATACAGTCCTGTGGCAGATCACCCATGCTCCAGGTTTTCTCTGGGAAAGCAGTGCACAGTGTTCAGACAAATCTGCGAAATCTGACTTATGAAAAAATTTTCAGAAAAAAAGTATATGCTGTGCTTAAGAGGGTTGATTGGTACATAACCACAGAGCTACAATTATTGCATTTGATGAGTGTGAACTTTCATGTTATATTGATTCTGACATTCAGCAGTAAATCTTACAAGATGCAATATGTCACCATCCAGAGCTCTGACACCAACAAAAATAACATCTTAAATGAAAACAATAAGATTTTCTTCTGTTTTTTTCTGTCTTGATGCAGCATTATCCTACCAGATAATCTGGAACTGGGAGGTCTTTCTCAGACTTTTTAGACAATAATGGCGTCTATCCAAATTTTTGCATTTTAAGATTCATTTATTTCTATTCCTAGGTTTAAAATGTCTGTACCCCACATTTATTCTATTATCTTTGAAGTCCATTTTGCTGGATGACTCATTTTTACCCTACACCAGGGCGAGGCAGCCAAATGCAGGACCTATTGCTCTCCACATGAATGGAGGCTTTGTATGTGAGTTGGAACCTTAATTTCATGTTCAAATTGATGGGTTGATAGAGTTCAGTGGAAGGTATCAGATTTTTTTCTGAATACCTCAGATTTCAGAACACATCTTAAATGTATTATTGGAGACATCAGATTCAAGAACTGCAAACCTTTTGTATATCAGATTTAAGAAAGGAGCCCTGATGGTGCAGTGGTTAAATGCCAGTACTGCAGCCATTCACAGCCACAAGGTTGTGAGTTTGATCCCAGGCAGGGCTCCAGGGTCAACTCAGCCTGGCATCCTTCTGTAGGTCACTAAAATGAGTACCCAGCTTGTTGATGGCAATTAGCTTACACATTGTAAACTGCTTAGGGAGTGCTTAAGTGCAGTGATAAGTGGTATAGAAATGTACTTGCTGTTGCTATTGCTAAGAAGTGCAACTGCATCCTTGTAGAACCTATGTGGAAATGGACTCATTGAGACAAATTACTTAGGACCTCTGCAGATGGGCAGCACAGAGCCACCCTGGGAAGTGGCGGATCAGGGCCACAGCAACCCCACAACACGGCCCCAATCCTCCCTTTTGCCACCCTGCAAAGAGCAGCAAAATGCTGCTCCTTTTAGGGGTGGCAAAAGGCCACGCTAAGAGCCAGCGCATGTCTCTTCAGTGCCCTTTTCAGCACAGAGTGTTTGAACATTGTGCCAGAAGGGCGTCCTGACACCATGTGCCATGCGTAACGGTGCACGGCATCAGGACGGTGTTGGTGTGGAGTTGGGGCAACCAGTTGCCCTGCCCCGACTCTGCCTCCAGTCTCCAGCTGGCCCTTAGTCTCAGGAGTCCTGATTTTGAGCTCCAGAACATTAATACTGGGCTGGTTAACAGATTAATTTTCATTTTTTTCTTTTTTAAAAAATAGGGAAACAAAACATGAAAAGAAAGTAGGTAAGGGACAACTTGGCATTACTTTATTTTTGATACATCCAGAGCACAGCACATCCTTCTAGCCTTTCAATCTCCTCCATCAGGAGAGCCAAACTCTGTGGCCATTTGTGTGGGAAACTTGGCAAGAGTGAAATGCAGAAGCCAAGTTATGGAATGTGATTTTCCAGCAGCAGCATCTGGGCCCCGGTTAACTTCCTGACTGATCTCCTGCCGGAGACAAGGAGCCAACCACAATAAATGCAGAAAGTAGTGAGAAAGAGGCTAGAATCTTGGACACAGCATATATCTTTAAAAATAGCAATGCAAATCCAAAACATATTTCCAAACTGCATGCAACTTCAAAACTCTGCTGGAAAATGCATCTTCCTGTAGATTTGCCATGTGGAATATGCCCTAGTTAATTTTTGTACTAGTTCTAGCAACAGAGCCAAAGACTATAGCTTCATTCAAGAAATAGTTCAGGAACTTCAGAGCTCCAGACTCATCCAGAGGGATCAAATGTGTCACTCTAGTGGTGGGTTTCTGTGCTGCACATTCCACATTTTTCAAGATCTAAGTGGTTATTATTATTATTTTGCTATTGCATAATTTTTCAGACTTATCCTGCTCATTTTTTTAACTTTTAAATTCCTATAATAAAAGCAACTTCTTAACCTCCCATTTTCTGATGCCAATCAACTGGTATGGCTCATAAAGGTGGTACATTTTGGTTGTTGTGGATGTTGTGCTTCTTGTTGAATTAGGAGTAGATTCCCAGGGCAATAGCCCCTTTGAGGGAAGGATGGGACTGGCTCAGTTAAGAGACAGTTTCCTTCACCAGTTTCCAGAAAAATACAGTGAATCTCTTGCATATCCTTCTGAGACTAACCTCAGTAAATATAAGGCAGGCTGGCACTATTTAACTTATATAGTTGAAAAGCCTACTAGTTGCATTTAAACAGAGATTCTGGACATATATTTCAGTTTCTTAACACTTAAGAGAAAATTTCAGGTAAAGAAGGAGCTCAGGATAGCTGTGATTCTCTACAGTGGAAGAGAGAAGTAGAAAGAAAGAGGAGGGATGGGAGGAATCTCACTTCCTTCAAATCAGTTTCAAACTCTAAGTTTTCATTCATTTTGACTTCCATTCTTGTTGGTTGTATATGGCTTCCAGGCTGATTTTTGGAAGTACCCATATGCTAACCACTGGGGCACTGATGCATCATTGATTATGTTTCTTTTCCAGTGCTGGACCAAAGCACTTTGCTGCTGAGGATATGTCCTTTTACCACACCTGTGGCCAGCAGAATACTTTAGGGGGGTGTAGGTGACAGCTGAATCTTTCCAAAGGAAAGGATGGCCAAAGGGCTCAAGAGGAACAACTAGTTGTCTATTGCTGCTGCCATCCTGCCCCTGCCACCTGAGGTGATTTCCTCACCAACTCAGATGCCTTCTCTGATTTCCTACATATTATTTGCTTGAAAGATTACTAGCCACATATCAAAGCACTGAATTACCACTTTAAAGATGTTGTTGTAGCAGTAATATTCACACAGAGAGTTTCCTCACAGGTAAAAACTACTGTGTGTTGTATGCCTTCAAGTTATTTCTGACTTATGGTGATCCTAAGGAGAACATATCATGGGGTTTTCTTGGCAAGATTTGTTCACAGGAGGTTTGCCATTCTCTTCCCCTGAAGATGAGAGCATGTTACTTACCCAAGGTCACCCAGTGGGTTTCATGGCCAAGCAGGGAATTGAACCTTGGTTTCCAGAGTCGCAGTTCAACACTCAGACCACTGCACCACACTGGCTTACTATGAAACCTTAGTGTGTGTTTGCTCAGCAGGCACCTCACTCTATAGCTATAGCTTTCTTCGTGTTCTCCACAGGGGTCTAGATTTAAAGCAATGCATTATATTATTTCATATCACCTTGCAGAGGCAGGAAAATGTCTGCTTTTTAACAGGCATTTTAATTCTTATTTTATAATCTACTGTTTTACATTCGTGCTTTTGTATTTATATTGTTTTTATTCTCATGATTTTTTTCTGTTTTCATTTGCTGCTGGTATTGTTACAGTACATGCTAATTTGTATGGATCATTTCATTACTTTTTAAAGCCATTTTGCAAGATGCTGTGGAAAGGTGCCGAAAAAAATCTTTTAAATAAATAAATACTAAGGAAAGGGCCGGCATGGACAAACCCCCCACTGGCCATGTAAGTAGCTTTTATTTTGTTATATGCATTTAATTGTACAATGTAGTTGGGGTTCTGATACTGCAATTTAATTTGAAATAGGAAGAAAAAAGGTAATTGGGCTTATTGTAACTGGGCTTCTCATTATTGCAAGGGGGGAGGGACAGGAGCAAAGGAGAGAATACTGATACCATATGACTGTTGATAATGTAATTGCCTTAGAAGTGATGTTTCACACCTGGGGACTTGCACTATTGATAGTTCATTGATGGGTTTTCCCGTCAACTCTAATTGTGGTTGGGGGACACAGCGGCTATAATTTGGAAGTGGTGGCATGCAAAAACTATTATCAAAGCCACTTTTTTCCAGATCTAATTGCAGTTCAAAAGCTGTGTGTAGTACAGTGCACCAGCACCATCCGCAGGCTTGCCATCCACAGCTTTAAGCTTATGCAGATGGCAAGCCCCAGATGTTATAATGACATGTGCATCAATACAGGAGTGTGTGGCCATTGAAATGAACAGGACTTGAGGTCCCTTGTTTTTTGCCATATGCGGTGGGTGGGGTGGGGTTCCAGAATCCCCTGCACATACAAAGGGCCCACTGTAATCTCCTAATCCCCCTGAGGTTATCTTCATGTGGATGTTCCCCTCTGCTGATAGAGAAGAGTTCCAGCATTAGGGGAGGGATGTCCACCAACTCCCAGTATGTCTGAAGATTTCTCCACCTGTTAAATCAATCATGGGTGTGTGGTAGGTTCCAAAATGGCATATTCTTGGGTTGGCACAGATGCAGAATGGAGGTGACTTTGGACCCAAAGCCTTCAGTCACTTGATTATTTTTGGCCTGGGTTCTGCCTCTACACAAGCCTGAAGCTGGCATGCAGAATTCTTTCCCCCATTAGAACCAACAGAAAGGAGAAGAATAGAAGACATTGACAGAACCACATGAGGATAGTAAGAGAGAAATGCACACCACACCATTCAACACATGCTGTGTGCTGTGGTAATCCTTCACTTTAATCCACCTCTCACTTTACTTAGGATTGCTCTGTAAGTGTGCAGTATTATATACACATACTTTATAGTAGGTCCCATTGAACTAAATAGGACCTACTTTGTGGTCACATGACATAATGGATGATATCCATTAAATTAGGAAAGTGAAATGTACTTGGTTCCTGATGTAAACTACTGTAAACCCTATATTTTTCTGGATTGGCTACATATATTACATTTGCTGGTCATGGTTAAAAGAAATTTGGTAACATTTAAGACTCAGATTGAGTCACAGATTTCAGTTAGATGCACAGATGACATTTCTCTTGCTCTAAATCTATATTTATACTTACAACAGAGTCTTCTTACTTGAATTGCATTAAAACTGCCAGTTTCACTTAGCAACAGTTGATGTGATGAGCATTTGTGTGAAAAAGCTCACAGGGAAAGACATATCTTGGAAATGACAATGACCCAAGGTTTATGTTTAAGTGGCATGTACAGGATATTATAAGTACAGGTTTATTAAAATTGGCAGATATATTAAAATTACATACTTCATTCTCAAGATAGTTTGAATACAAGAAAGACAAATGGCACAGTTCCATAGTAATAATTATTTTTGTTATCTTCAATGTGGTTCTCTTGGCCCTGCTCAGAACAGGGACATGTTTATACATTTTAGTCTTCTGAAAGTTTTGGCCCTGCTCAGAATAGGGACAAATTCATACTTCTTCCTGGACAATGGTACCATCCTGAATTTATTGGTATGATTTTGCCAGACATATCTGCTTTTAAATCTTGAGCAAGATTCGCCCTTTTCTTTAACAACACTCCCATCTTGTACAATTTCTATATATTTATTCAGTTATTTTTTTTTCTTATAGCAATAGAATTTTAAATCCAGTTTTCCACACTGTGACTGTAATTTATTCCAAGAGCTGCCTCAGACTGGAAGTAATAGTGGTAGACATGCGTGATTTGTCCCATCGAGTAGAACAGGACAGATGAAGAGTCTGATTTTAGTGAAAAATCAAGGGTATGCAGTTGGGGTTGGCCAAAGACATTTTGTTGCCCATCCAAGTCCTGATGTATAGCAAGCAAAACCACCGAGATGATTTTGGCACCTGAAGCTGAAAATGTAGCAAGCACCTCTCCACAGTACCACTTCAATATCATAAAAACTTTAATATTTGCCACCCTTTTGTGATT